ATGTCAAACATTTTATTGCTTATTATTAAAAAAGTGCTCAAAAAAATTTTATATCTTTGCAGAAAATAAGTTGCTACCTCAAGAATGTGAAGATGTGGCAGATATACTTCTCCTGTTTGATGAATTGTTTAATTCTTTTAATGAGGTTCCTGTAAGAAAACATACAAGATCTATAAAAATCCAAATTCAGATTGTTTAAGTTACTAGTTAAGTTTTATTTCATCATTATTTATTTTAATATGTCTGTCTTTTAATATTTTATTTATAATTATTGCACCAGCTTTTATGCCATCTTTAAGGGTCTGGACTATGTACAATTATTTTGATCAACAAATTAATGATTTTTAACATGACATAAACATAAAAAAGTAAGGAAAGGGTCCTTACTTTTTTATGTTTATGTCATGTTAAAAATTCAATTTTGATATTGATGATTTGAAATATCCCATTTGGGGGGAATCATTAGGCAAATGTTTTTAATTATTTTTGTTATAATCTGCAATACATTATGAAAAGTTTTGTGAAAGTTGTAAAAGCGTTTTTCTTGAAACTACAAATTTGATGTATTCGCTTGGTGTGGGGTTGTCTTACAAAGATCATTATTACATTAATTACATACTTATATATAATATAAGTATGTAATTAATGTAATAATTAAATATGTAATTATAAGTATGTAATTAATGTAATAAGTATGTAATTAATGTAATAATTTTCATCTTTTTGAAATAAAATTATTTTAGTTTTTAGTTTCTGCGAATTTGCTAATTAATAATTGATAGCTTCAAATTTGTTTTCAAGCTACTGGACTGGAAAGGATACGGTATTAACATCAATGGCGAGTACATCACTCACCTTCGATTTGCCGACGATATAGTCCTTACGGCAGAATCGCTGGAGGACCTTAGCACTATGCTCAATGACCTCAATGGTGTCTCCCAACGGATAGGTCAATTTATATCTTAAATTGTAAAGAGTCCCTTAGAAATTTTTTAAAGAAATAAACATATTAACTTTAGCTTAGCAATATATTTATGAAAATGTATGTACATAAAAACATAAATAGCTTTCATAAGAATAAAGATGTTCATACTATAAACACTAGGAACAAACATAATCTTGTAATACCAGTTATTAGAATTCACTGAGTCAGTAGTACTTTTATGGGGCAATGTATTATACGATTTTACAACAAAATTTCAGAAAATGTACAAAATTTGTCAATTACTAAGTTGAAATGTTGCAAAAAGTGTTATAATATTAAATAATACATCATATAACTCCTGGGAATGAAGTGATCGCCACCATGGTTGTATGTACTATTACATTATATTTAAAAAGTGTACAAACAAAATTATTGTAAAGTGAAATATGTTTAAAAAAGTCCCGCTGGGTTTCTTCCTGGTTCTTACCAGGACAGAGGTATCAGTGGTAAATAAAACACAACTTTCAATAAGTGTTATGTAATAATCTATATTTAAAAAAAATCTACGAGGGTGGATTGAAAAGTACTCGGCCTAACCAAGAAAATAAACACATACTAAATCAGTTATATTTTTATTTTTCTACATAATCACCATCAAGTTCAATACGTTTTTGCCACCTCCCCTTCCAAGCATTTAGACCGTTGAAAAAAAATGATTCTTCCTTAGAGTCAAAATATGCGTCTACAGCTGCTTTGACCTCGTCGTTTGTCGAAAATCTTTGACCTCCCAAGTGCTTTTTTAGGTTAGGGAACAGAAAGAAGTCTGATGGTGCCAGATCAGGTGAATACGGCGGATGCGGTAACAGTTCAAAGCCACAGTTGTGAATTTCAGCCATTGACTGTACTGACGTGTGAACACGGGCGTTATCTTGATGAAACAGGACTTTTCTTCTGAGCATTCCTCGAAGTTTTTCTTTTATTTCCTCTCGTAAACGACGTAGTAAGGTGCAGTAGTAATCAGAGTTTATAGTCTGACCCCTTTCAAGATAATCAATCATAATCACACCTTTCGAGTCCCAGAATACTGAAGCCATCACCTTATTTGCCGACAAAATCGACTTAGCCTTTTAGGGGGTGGTGAACCAGGTCTTCTCCACTGTTTTCATTGTTGTTTTATTTCCGGTGTACAGTAGTGAAGCCATGTTTCGTCCACAGTAACAAAACGATTCAAAAAATCATCTGCATCGGCTTCAAATAACTCCAAACAGTCGCGTGAAATAGTCAATTGCGTCCTTTTTTTGTTCAACTGAAAGCAGTCGCGGAACCCACCTCGCAGACACCTTGTGGAAACCCAACTCGTTGACAATGATATTTGAGTTCGTTCATAAGAGATGCCTATAATCTCGGCTATCTCTCTAATTTTTAATCTGCGGTCTCCCATTATTAAATCAAGTACTTTTTTAATATTAGTAGTAGTAAAAACCGTCAGTAGTTGACGTCGAAGGCCTTCCAGAGCGGGGTTCATCTTTCACACTCTCTCTACCACGCTTAAATTCTGCTATCCATTTTTTGACGGATGAATATGACAGAGCACAATCGCCTAATGTACTGACCATGTCATCATGGATGGCTTTTGATGATAGCCCCTTCTTATGGAGGTACTTAATGACGGCACGCTGCTCGATTTGCTCCATTCGCGGAAATTATGTCCGATTACTTTGTTAATAAATTTATAAAATCACAACTAATTATCGCACACGTTTCGAACTTCACACAATAAACTAGTCTGAACTGAACTAAATAATGTGGGTAGATTTGATTTTTAGAGTTGAATGGATCTGTGTTAGGCCGAGTACTTTTCAATCCACCTAGGTATTGTATTCTATACACTAATATAAGATATATACAAACCAGTAGGGACATTGTATAAAGAAATCAATTGATATTGTGCAAATATTGTTAAATTTAACACATCTAATGTTATTCAATAACTAAGCAAAGAATTTTTAAACAATAAACATTTTAAAATAACCGGTTTTTTATTTTTGTAATAGGAACTAACAGTTAGCACAACAAACATAAACAACTAATAAGTAATTAGTGGTTGTATATAAAATAAAAATATTAAAGTGCAAATAAAGGGCGAGCCCAAAGCACCAATAATTTAACGCCATCTATTAGGCAAAACCAGAACTTTAACGAAAATTAAATTTGAGTCGCACATCTACCTATCTCGTTAAAACTACACTAACTTTATTGATGAAAGAATGTAATATCTAAAATGTAAACATCGTATTTTTTTCCAAATTTAAAATGTTAATAAAAAATTTATTCCAAGACAATTTGACAAATTATCTTTCTTATGGATACATCGGAAGATACGCCCGATATAAAAATAGCATAGATTTAAGATATTAATGCAATTATGAAAAGCTTATTTATTCACGTGTTCCTATAACATATTATATCTAGGCCAAATAGCAATCATCTACGTTCAATAGTTTTTGAGAATTCAAAAAAAAATTTTGACATTCAACAAAGAACTAAATTTGTAATGGGTATACATTGAAGTAATATGTACTTACGTACTAGAACAGCTATTTCAAACAAAACATGTGCGCTACTCTGTGTTCGCGCGGTTGGTTTTTTATCATAGTAGTGTACGTAATAATAGATTGTATTGTTAAATAGGTAAATTATATCGAGAACAATTTTAAAATTTTGTCATATATTTTGTATATTATATTTGCTTATTTAATATAATATTACATAATATTATATCACAATTACATTTTAATGATATTTTATCTGAATATTTTAAAAGGTATCTATGTCAAATATAAAAAACATACTAAATGTATGTTTAACAAAACTTATTAATATAAAATTTAAATTTCATTTATTTATTTAAATTAGAATAAGAGTCATTCATAAATGCTGGGCACGCGAGAGTTAAAAATGGACGAATTTATTCCACTTTGACTTTGATGTGGAAACCTAAAAATAATATAAAAGAATAATGAGCAGATTTAAATAAAAAAATTGGCCTAATTATGATAACTCATATATGTTTCTACAAAAAAAAGTGTATAATAATATATTCGTCCTATACTTAAGTACCCACAAAAATCATCTGAACAAATTAATTTCATAATCTATATTACATGACACAAGATGGCGTCTTAGGAATAATTTGTTTTATTATTAATTTATAATATTTTTTATTGATTAAGTCTCTTATTAACTGATGAAAAGTAATACCTTGGTTTTACTGACATTTCTTGAATTATTTGTGCAATATCTAAGTACACACGACGTAATATTTTTATTAAGAAAGAGATTTTTTTTAAATCAACACAACATGTGACAACTCTACGAGCGCCTAGCGAGTGACTGATTAAGGTGCGGTGTATGCACCGCAGTTGAGTGGAACAGAGCATCTGAATGCAGGGTCGCCTCTAGTACGTAGTACATAATAGCTCAATGTGGGTATAAAATATTCTTCTGTAAGGTATTTCAGATACCGGAATCATATTATTTTCAGTTCACTTGTCTTTATAAAGTTGATGCATTTTTGTGGTGGACAACGAAGCAACCAGATGACGGTGCTTCGACGTTTGCCTTACGTTGTAGTAAAACACAAGAGTCCTTTTCTGTCATCGAACCACATGACAGGAAAGCACTCTTGTGTTTTTCACAAAGTTCACATCAGCTTCATTAGTCTTATTGGGGGATTTATGTTTACATCCCTTGTCACTATCCTTGTACAGCCCCATATCATTCCGTTTTTGAATAGAATCATAAACTAGAGTCGGAGAAATAGCTAGCGTGTAACAAAAAATTTTGACATACCTGCTTCTTCTCTGTTGTGCAAGAACTCTTTTCGGAGTATCTACTTCTACATTACCGAGAATGAAATTCTTTCGCTCGATATACCTCAAACTCCAGTAGTGACGACATAAATGATTTCTTTCTTCTTGAGAGATCACACCACATTTATAGAAACATTTCTCACAGTCAACCGCTTTTGGCGTTTTAGCACTCCTATCTTTTTTATCGTAGAATAAGGTTCAGATCATCTTTTCTTTGCGATATTTACTTTCCAATTTTCTGGTTTTGGTTTCATCCAACGTTTTATTTTCCGAATAGCATCGAATACTCCTTTAAATAAGAGTCCCCAAAGATATATTATGACTTGCTGTGCATCAGATGTTGGCAACACCTGTGCGATCATAACGAAGCCGTCGTTAGGTTGAACTGCTTCGTCATGATCATTTCCGTAGAATCGCATATCATATTCAAAGTTCTCATCCTTGTTATTCGCCTATTGTTCTCCAAATAAATCCTCTGGTTGTATTAAAAAGCCTGGATCCTGGTTGTAAGTGGGATCTTTATCAGAGTCATCGCTGTCAATCATGCGCTCCGTTTCCGCCACTATTCTCTCCTTAGACTCACTCAAAGCCGAAGCACAGATCGAAGTCGGGCTACAAAACCTTTGATACGAAGAGCCAGGCTCCTCATCCAAATCATCTGAAAAAAATTAAAAAGACACACAAAAGTTAGTAGATAATTATAATATTTATTACATTATTCTTTATCATTTTGGTATACTGTGTTTAGATACAATTATATCATTATAGTACACTATTTTACATTATTTAACTACAAAAATGCCCTTGATCACTCTTCCTCTCACACCTTCAATTACATTTACGGAAAACGTAAAACCGCCTAATAAAAGAAAAGAGCAGAGTACTGATATTTTAACAGAAGAGGACGTGAAAGATGAAGATATAGATAGGTTCTGCGATAAATTGACTGAAGAAGACAATAAGCAGTACTGTTAGGATGGCTCGCTTGGGGTCCTTTTTTAAAAAAAGACACCTTTACTACTGCTAAACTAATTTAATTTAATTACACTTCGGAATATTATAAACTATAACAAGTTGTGTACCGAACAAAGGTTAGAGTTTGACTGCCTAAATTTTATTTTATATACTGTACATAATGCTTACAACAACAATTACAACCTTGTACATCGGTTCATAACATCTCCCTCCTTAAGACGGAGGCTTATCCTTTAAAATTAACGTAGGATACAATAAAGTCAAGATCCTAAGTTAATACAATGAAATATTGAAATACAGTAAAATCGTTTAACAATTAAAATAATTCTAGCAGATACAATTGCAATAGCTAATACTTTATTTTAGTTGGCAATCTTATTCAATCAACAACTAAGAAAAATAATAAGGAATATAAAAACTTGAAAAAGAAATAAGTGAATTTAAATCGCTACATTATAATGTAAAGTAAAGTAAAATAATATAAATATTAATCGATTAATAACTAATAGTTGCATCTGTACGGTAAATAATACGGCTATTGCTGAACCAAAGATTTCCTTTGGTAGGATTGGTCCTTAAGACCCAAGGTTGGGCTTCAGAAGTGGAGCCACCGTGATTCTTGATGTTAGTTTTTTGAGGTTTTCACAGCTTCTGCTTTGGAAGAAAATAGAGTCTCAATCTGTATAGAGGCATTAATCATGCTACCATTCCAAGTTCTGTGATTTAAGGATGCTAAAATAAATAAAATTAAAAATAAATAAAATAAATAAATTAAATTCATTTTTTTTATAAAATAAAATAAATTCATTTAAGACTCATATTTGTACGATTAAGATGTTAAACCACGTAAACTAAAAAAAGTAAGTAAACATTACAGTATTTATTTAAAAAAATCTAAGACTAAAAAATCAAAAAGTTTGGTATGATGATTCCTAGCCCTCGTCCTCCAATACCTCTGGATACACTGTAATAAAATATAAAACAATGATTACCCAAAAAAGTAGAAACAAACAAGCAAGCAAACTAAAAGCGAAAATTATTGAAACATAAATATACCTAGAATTATCGCAGTTGCCATTACAGGTCTTTCACAGGAGTCTGTATAGCATTCCTTCTCGTCTACAAGAACAACGGCCTCTACAGCTGTTCTTACATCCACATTTTACCAGCTTTCGCGCAACATCCCAGATACTATGCTGGGTTGTCCATATTAGCTGCCATTGTCCTTCCTTTTCAGTCCATCCCCAGTTTGATGGGGAGGGAATATCGGGTGAGGAGTCAAAAGCTTGTCCCCATATATAACCTGCTTGGTAGGCTGCCCTAAGTGCATGCATTTTAAGAGCATTTCTTGTAGGGGGGATACTCTGTAAAGCCTTATTCTTTGTGAACAAAAACTTGTGAGCTTTATACACCGAAACTATTTCACTGTCACCACAGTAAAGCTTGACGACGAACTTTTCCAAGCTAATCAGTATATCATCTGTCAGTTCATTTAACGGATTAGAAAGGGCTTTAAAAGCTGATGTGACATCAATACACTGTTGCCATGTCTTCCAGGTCAGTATTTCCCTTTTGAGTAGAACGCACAAACGGTGTCACAACCTGTGAATGCATGGTACCCTCTCATGGCTTCTGCTCTCTCTTCACCCAGATGATGTGCCAAATCATGCGCAGCTATATAGCTGTGATGCTTTCCAGTACCAAAAGATCCCCACAACTCTTTGAGACCTAACTGCTCAAGGGAAAAGTAGTAGGATATGGCAATTATGAGCACGTAGGAATCGACAGTATGTATTATTTTGTTTGTTGCTCCATTCATCACCATGTCCTTGGCATGCAGAATAATGCGGCTATCAGCCGCCTCGCAAGTAACATTAAGCCCTGTCAACAGCGTGTTCGTTGGTACTGATGATTTGATTGTCGGACCGATGTTAGTCACTATATGTATACCGAGGTTTCCCTGAAGGCATAGCATCCGAGTAGCTTAAACAGTTCTTCCTTGTTCTGAGAATTCTTAAGAAAGTTTGACCAATTGCTTGGCAATTTGTAGTTGTCATGTACTTGACGACGTATTCCTTGGCTTCTATCATCCCGAACCTGCTTCTTGAGAGAATCATATCAGGGTAAGTTCTCTGTACTTCCCAAGATGCACCGACGGAACTCACTGCAGCAATATTCTTTGAATGTTTTGGAGCTACGTGGAGGATGACTGTGGACAAGGGCAGCTCCATCAAAAATATGACTATTATAATTTTCAGAGTAAGTGTTGAAAGAGATAACGGCGTGATTGTGTGTGTGTGTGGATGTGTTGCCTTCGATTTCTTTCTTCAAAACCGTGACTATGTCAGACTTCTGGCACATTCGCAAATTTTCCATCGACGATAAATAAGGAGGTTCAACTTGATTCTGAAAAGAAAAGGAGATGTCCAAGTCCAGACTCCTATTCTGACATGATATGAATAGTTTTGAGAATATATTCACGCCAGACTTTAAAGCTTTGACAGTTTCAATTTGTTTCGAGGTTTTTGGCTTCTTTACATTGGCGAAAATTCTGGTTTTCAGTTTTTTTATTGGTTCAAATTAATTTTGAACCAATAAAAAAACAGAAAACCAGAATTGGATTAAAAGGCTTGTTAAAAAGAAGACGTCTTTTCGACAAGCCTTTCTTCAACTAATTCCCTGTACAATTCATTTCCATTTTTCTCCAAATTGTTTAATGTGTTTTCTATATCAGTATCTGCTATATTCCTTGTATCTAATACAATTAAATCTTTTGCTTGTTCTTGAAATGGGTTGCCAAACTCTTGTATACTTGCTTCTACTGCACGAACTTGTCGCAGAAATTTATTCTGGAAAGCAGGATACTGTTTGATGAAGCTCGTCAGTAGATTCAACGCCCTTAAAGTCTTGAAGAAGGCGGCATATTTCAGGTCCAGCAAGCATCCTTCGTCGCAAAGCCGTTGGATCTTGGGTAAGGCCAATGGCACCCCCGTCGTCTTTAACAATTGCATTATGCTGTTCGTGTGCTTGGTCTACAGCAAGAGCAGAAAATGGTCTTTGGGACTTACGTATCACAAAGTTTCCTTTTAAGAATTCAGAATAGACCTCTGGGACACTCGTTGGTAATAACTCCAGATCAGCTACACGAACAGACAGCCAACGCGCGTAGTTTTGGTGGCCAAATAAAAAAAAAACAGGATAACATTTGCTTCAAGCATTCTCGGAAAAGATTGTAGTTTCCTTCTCGCAATGAGCGCACAAATGATAGGAGAAGAATCTGTAAATTAAGTAAATTCAACCAGAATTTGCACGTTGGTAATTCAGCTGCTTGCTCATGTGCCCAAGTCTCAAATAAAATGTTAGGAGAATTCGCTGAGTGGGCTTGATTTACAAGCACGTACAGAGCTGCGGCAGTGATTTCTTGGACTGTCCTACTTTTTTTTGACATGTGAAATCTTCATGATCGGCAATTCCCTGTGTAGTCAAACCTGTGTTCACAGCAACGCTAATCCAACCGCATCTTTCCATGTACTGCCCGATGACTCCGAGAAATGCCTTCTCTATATGAAAAGGAGCAAACGTCATCACAAACTTCTCTTGTCCATACAAATCTGGCCAATTCCATTGGATTAGTTTTCCCATAGTACACTATGGGAAAACTAATCCACTCTACAGAGTGGTTGGTCTCCATACATGACTGGTGTTTGGAGGGGGTTAAGGTGGTGCGTTATATTTTTTATGATATTCATTCCGTGACGTATGTAAATTCTGACCACTATTGCTTGCATAATATGCAGTCATATGCAGCCCAAGACCAATTACTCTGAGTACCATCTTCGTGAACGCTGTAATTGAGGACATATTCAAGCCACTCGGATTCTATTTTCCACTCCATAGTTTCTGTAGGGAGCATTTGTGACAAAACTGGAACACAGCTATCAACGCATTTGGCACGATTGCAAACGACTCTGGTAACTAAGGGACATCTAATGTTTGAGGTCCGTAACTGTTGTATGCAGATTAGAAACTTCTCTGGTGGCCTGGCTGAGCATCCTATGGTGTTTGAAACACTGATATGCTTGTTCCGTGGAAAAAACCTTCTGAAGTATTGCTTGATGGATTGTGGTCTACATTATCATAGGCTCCAATAGTAAACACACTTTGCAAAAGATTACTGGAACATAGTAATCCTTCCTCTTCAGCTCGATTAATATTTAAGTGGCACAGTGCAGATGTTACCTCACGGACACGGTTTTTTGAAACCGATAAGCCACGTTTGTGCAAATCGTCAATTACAGTCTTGCTACGCGTGCGACCATAAACCTCGAGGGCTGAATAGAGTGGCAGTGGTGGCTCGTGCTCTTTGTCATGTTGCATAATATTACCACTAGGTGCTTTACTTTTGTAATTAAACATTACGAGCTGCGCTATAGCCAGAGCTGGCTCAGTAGCCCTGCACTCTTCAGGGTACCATGTTCCATAAATAATCATATTGAGTGAGGCCAAAAGAAGAGGAGGGACTGAAGATTCTTGACAGTTTTTATCGAATGTGCCTCTGAAACAGGTTTTCCAGCTTTTCATCTCCTTCCTGAGAGCTGCGCTAAATCTAGAATAGCCAATTGCGTCTTGATGAAGATCGTGAGAATGTGCATGAAGAGATAAGCCTGCAGATTTGCACACTAACTGATACTCACTGGAAGGACGATGTATTGTCACCTGTGGAAACTCATCCTGAAGCTTTTCCCCAAGCGACGTTGATCGTGTTTCTGGAAGCTCACATTCGGGAATGCCAAGTAACTGTGCTAATCGTTTTCTATACATCGTTTTTAGTGTGCTCATTTGAAATACGAAATCACGATCTTCGCTTTCCAATTCATTCTCCATATAAGCCACAAGTTCAGCGTAGGCTACGGCTTTGCCAGCGGTAGATTTACAATCAATATAATGGCTGTCTTTCCTGCACTAGTTTCTTAAATTTTGTAAACATTTTTTGTGCTATTTTGCATAGGACGCTACCAAACCTTTGGCTTGCAGCATCCCAATAAGTCGCGTATCCATTAAATAGTGGGCCCATTCTTTAACTCTCATTTAGTTGTAAAGATGTGACTAGTTGAAGTTTGTTATTTCGTGTTTCTGGCATAGAACAAATTAAGCAAATCGGTATCTCTAAATTGTCAGTTAGTGGCGCAGGCATAGAAGACCTAGTTAATCGACTGCTTTCAATATTTTGGCTCTTAGTTTCTTCAAACTTTTTATGTGCTCGCTTAAGTTTTGTAGAATTATACTGCATGGCGCAATTTTTGTGCCATTTTGCCTCACGGCTACTCAGAGTTGCAGCAATTCCTAAACCTTCATTCAGCTTGTCAAAATGTTTAATAGAATCCAGCTCACCTATTTCCTTAAATGCACATAAATTGTCCGCTAATGTAATAATTTTGAACGGTTTTTATTACGGTCCGGACATACAAGATTTTCTTTATTTTTTGATTGACAAATACAGTACCTCGACCAATCGATACTGCTGGACTTTCCAGTTAGTGACTGTGGGTCAGCAACCACTAGCAATTTTTCTCGTTTTGACATTAAAAAAAAAAAGATAAGTTAAATAGTTGCGCGCGAGAGTCGCGACTCGCGTCAACCGATTGAGGGCAAACGAACGCGAGCTCACGCAGCAAGCAACTCCGCGCGACTGGCAAGCGAGCCAACGTGGGTTGCGGGATGAGGTATGAGGCGAGTGAGGGGGTAGAGGCGGCTGTGCGGGCGGTACTGCAAAACTCAATCAGTGCGAGTGCGAGGCAATGTGGTATATACCTACATACCTAAATAGAATAATTACGCATTATTTGAAATTCATATTACAATTTTTTAACTTTATTAATTTTTTACTATCTATTGACCTAAATATTATTCCAGAACTGATATTTAGACATTTAATATAATCGAAAATGATACCAAACTCGACTATATACATAAACCCTACGCAGTTATTAACCTAAGACTTTGTTAAGGCTAAAACACCCCCCCCTGCATGAAAACTTGAGGTGACTCCACTTCGAAAACCCATCTTAGGGATCCAAAGATTAATCCTGCCAAAGGAAATCTTTGGTTCAGTAAAAGCCGTATTCTTCATTTTTTTGTCGTTTACAACTGCAACTATAAGACACTTGTTTGATAATTGAAAATAATTTTACAATTTTAATTGTTATTTAACAATATTAATAATAAATATCAATTGAAATTTAAAACATGATTAGAAATATTAAAATAACTTTAAGAAGAAATTTATACATTTTATTCTTATTAAGTATGTTAGCAATATTATTTAATTTATAACAAGAAACATGTTAAGAAAAGTAATTAATAAGTTTTAATATTTAATAATTGTTGAAATTCCGGTTATAAGAAGCTCTGTTAAATTTCGCATATTGAACTTTGTCCTTGTTTTTACTTATCTCTATTTCTGGGGGACTGCTAATCGATTTCTTGTCGCATTCAATTGATTCATCTGAAATATCCGTTAGTTCAATAGAAGTGTTAACATTAGTATAATTTTTATTATAACACTGATTATAGAGGTTGTTTGGAAGGTCGATGCAAAGCCGTAAAGCGGAGCTAGTATAGACTATTTAGAATCATTTGAACCCAACTTGTCTTAGACGAAGTGGGACTATTATTTTTTTATCAAGCTTTAATGATTTTTGATGACAAAACCCAAAATTTTGGAGTTAGTTGTAAATTGTGGCCAGTTTGAAACACAAATCATTCACTTTTTATTTTATTTTATTGAAGTAATGTGTAAACAGTTTAATGTAACATGATTCAGGCATCTGTGTCATGAAATAAGTTTTTTACAGATATTTGAAGTCAATGATTTATTTAAAAATTGAAGAAAGCTGTTATTTGACGGCATTAAAAATATACGGGTGGTGTTGTTTTCGTTCAAACATTTTTAAAACATGCCTGGTTATTCTTCTCTCTTTTGAGGCATCAACTACGCGGATAGCTCACAAATTATTGAAATTGGGGCTTATAAAACAAATTGAGGGAGAAAATTAAAAATGTCAAGCAAGACAATAAAACGACATTAGTGCTTTAAAAAATACTTTTAATGTTGGAAATGATTACATAACAGAGTTCAATTCTAAGTATTAATCGGCACGTTCGAAATAAAATTGAGGGGACTCTTCTAACAAAGGCCAACGCGTAGCGCGTGCGATGAGATAGCAATAAACTTGAACAGGTAGCGAGTCTAGTAATAAAAAAATAGTGATGCTTAAATTACATTTCACAATAAAAACAATTTTATGGGTAAGACAATAGCGTCGTGTTTCATTCGTCTGGGTAACTACCTATTTCTTTAAGGGACGCTAGTATACTTAGGGCCGGTTTTTTGATCCGTAGTTAAGGCGACCAATGGTTAAAAATAACGACCAATGGTTAAATTTTTGTAAAATCCGTTTTTTGACCCATAGTTAGCACAACCAGTGGTTAAATAAGTAACTATTGGTCACAAAATTTAACCACAGCTCCAACAAGGGATTAGCAAGATGGCGGCTAGTTAAAGCGGGCTACATACGACACGATATCGGTGGCGATCTAGGGTGGAGTAGTGGGGATGCCTCCTAGATTGCCTCTAAATCGTGTCGTATGTAGGGCCATCCTAAGTCGCGGCCGATATCGCCTCCTTAATCGGCTGGCAGGAGCAAAAATGCTTCCTAGATCAGCCGATGCTTCCTAGATCGGGGCACCGCCCCCTCCTTACTGCGTGTGTGTAGGCGCATCGGCCCGATTTCTTTTGGCAGTCGCTGCCGGCAACCCTCGCGGAAGGAAGTTAACAAAACGGTGATACTGAATGACTTTTTATATAACAAAATTTTTACATTTTAATCATATAAACGGAGTAGAAACCTATGGCACTGATATTTTACAAAAAACCAAAAAAAAAATAAATAAAATAAATAAATTAATTGAAATTTTATCGAAATTCAAATCATATCCACCCTAGCCTGTGACCCTGCGAAGTGACATGGTCAAGAATGCCTACTAAACTAATTTTTTTATTGTCGTTCGTAAAGAAGAGTGTATGATGTAAGTAAGGAGAAGATAAAGCCTCTCCTCAACAACTAACTCCTATTTCAACGCTATCAACACAAGACCGCACTCATATCTCTTACAACTCCACAAGACCACACTTCGATCTCTTACGTGCCTTCATCCTCTTATCAACAACTAACTTCTACTCCTTCACCATCTCCACATCAACAAACAAGTTATATAAAAGGGAGTATGTCCGAAATTAAAGGTTTCTTTATGTTTAAAAAAAGATATAAGCTATTTTATTTTCTGATAGTTTTAGTCCATAAATAAAGATTACATTAAAAAAAAGTATACATATTATTATACAAAAGTATTTTTTTTCCTTGTTTGTTGTGTGTAATAACCAGATTTTGACCAAAGCAGAAATGAACAAAGAGAAGAAATAACTAAATAGCATAGGTAGGAGAAATTGACGTTTTTATATAAGTGGCGAAATCATTTCTAGAAGGTTATAAAAACTGTCTTCATCCATTCGAAGAAAATTAATCACGTCCTTGAATTACAGGCCATTTAGTACGTTTATGTGGCTTAATTTTTATCTCTTTTGGAGCCATTTTTTCACCCAGCAACTTCTCTTTTTATATTTTCGAATAAATTAACCGAGATGGCTAATGCCAAACCAACACGGTGGTGTTTTAAGAGAGTCGGAGGCATTTTGAAGAACTCTACCGCATATGCATTCCGCTCCAAGTCCGAATGCGTACTGCTAGGCAGGCCCGTGTGTAGAGTCTACCCCGATAAAAGCCCCGATTTCTTTCCACCATAGATCGCGACCGATATCGTGTCGTATGTAGCCCGCTTAACTCTCGCATTATCAGCTGTTCTCACTTCTCAGTGTTGTTTGCTCGTGTGATTTTAGTGTGGATTTTAGTGAAAAGTGTTACAATACAGATTTTCTGTGTTATTAATTATGAATTTAAACATAACGAGATACTTCGACATTTCAGAAAGTTCATCTGATGATGAAATTGTTGCGGAATATGTTTTAATGAGAAGACCAAAGGTATTCAGACCACGTAATCCGCCCCTGGGGCATTGGGACGAAGTAGACTTTTGTCAGCGCTACCGTCTATCTAAAGAAAGTGTAATTTGGATCATCAGAAACATAGGAGACGAGTTAAAAAGACCAACTGAAAGAAATTATGCAGTTACGCCAATGGAGCAATTATTGCTTACTTTAAGATTTTATGCCACTGGGAATATGCAACAATGTTCCGGTGATCTGTCTGGTGTCTCAAAATCCACTGCCTGCAAAATAATTCATGCTGTATCAAGGCACATTTGCTTAAAATTAAAATATTTTATTGCAATGCCTCAGACGGCTGGAGATGTCGTTGAAAGTTTTTTCAATATAGCAAAATTCCCAAGTGTTGTTGGTGCAATAGATTGTACCCATATACGTATTGCAAGCCCAGGTGGAGATAATGCGGAATTGTATAGGAACAGAAAAGATGTGTTTTCTATAAATACTCAAGCCATCGTCGATTCAAAACAAAAAATTAGAAATTTAGTTGCTAGATGGCCGGGTTCAGTACACGACAGTACAATTTTTAATAGCAGTGCAGCCAAAGATTTAATGATATCTCAAAAGTTTGGCAGATGCTGTCTTTTTAGGAGATAGAGGCTATGCCTTAAAAAAAGTATTTGCTGACTCCTTTGGCCAACCCACAAACTGAGGCTGAGAGGCTGTACAATGAAAGCCATATACGAACAAGGAATGTGGTTGAAAGGACATTTGGTGTGTGGAAGAGGAGGTTTCCTTGTATAGGCACAAAATTGCGAGTGAAATTGGAGAATGTGCAAGCTATAATAGTGAGCACAGCAATTCTTCATAACATATGTGTAGACCGAAATGATGCTTTACTCGATGACTCTACCAGTAACCTAAACATCATTTTGGATGAAAACATTAATACAACATCACCTCCATCGACTCAAAGTGATCAGCAATATCGGCAAGAATTAATTGATACATACTTTGTTTCTTTGCTCAACTCAGAATAAATGTTATATACATGATACATGTAAAGGAATGTATGTTATAAAATACATATAGAAATAAAACATATTTTAAAAATAATATCGTATTTTAATCACAATCATAACTTACCTAAACTTATATTACATTACATTACACTATAGCATATACTACTTTGCTTATATTATTAATATTAAATAACTAATAGTGACTATTGTTCTGAAATACAGCTGCATTTCTTAATTTTTAAAATTTCTAATTTAACTTTTTCCAAAAGTAATTCTTGTATATTTTTCTTAAATACTACTTCGAGCTCATGCATTTCCTTTTGTTGTTCCATGTACAAAGCGTGCTTTTGTTCCATGAATTCTATTTCTCTTTTATATTTATCTGCTTTATGTGTAATATTTTGCTGGTGCTCTTCTTGTGCATATTTTTTTATTTGCTCTTCCCTGCTCTTTTTTTCGGTTAAAAACTCTTTTTTTCTCTTCAAAATGAGTTACGATACGTTTTCTGGCTTCAAAAGGAGTATAACATTTCTTTCTTTTGTTGTGAGGACTCGCTGTAAACAAAGAAACTATGAAAAGAATGTTATTTAAAATCAAATTACATCAGTCCCATTTTTGCTAAAACCCTTTTAGAGACAATGTTATACTTTTATTTTTATACTGTACCTATGCTTTATATTGCAATAAATTTTATGAAACTTTATAAATGGAATAAACTTTTAATATTTATTAATAATAGACACAATGGGCTACTTTTTATACAAACATAAAATAAGATAAGCAAAGAAATTTTTCACAAATTACAGATCAAATCAATTATGATTGATTTAATTTTGACCTTGTGATTTTATAAATTAATTCATCTCTGTTTATAATAATAATTATTATGAATGTTTCCATTCACACAGTGCAGGGGACACTAGGATTCCCTGTGTTTCACTGTGTGTGAGGGTGGTAGCCATGTACATATAACCTGGACCCGAGTACAAAACAATTATCTGCCTCGGTTGGGATTGAACTCGAGACCCTCAGTATGATGTGGTACAGCTGCTAGTATTTGATACTTACATAATTGCTTTGAAATTGGTTTCCTGAGCAAAGCCTTTGGTGTAGAGTTGTCAAACGTTATATCAACCTTTTTTGAGTCTGCATCTGAAAGGCATGGATAGAAATAATGTTAGGTATCCCCAAGCAAAACTTGTGATGAACACTAATAACAATAAATTGTAATAGTTAAAAAAGTTCATGCTAGTAATCCTGAAGGTCCTGATCAGGACATTCAAAGATTCTGATACATAAATCCATAGATAAGTACCAAGTTAATAAGTAATAAACAAACCTGTCTCAATATCATCCAATACTTCTGTGTTTAACAAATTGTTGCACTCATTTAAGGAAGTATTTGCAGTACCACCTAAAATAAAAATATAGTTAATATTCTGAAAATAATATGCAATATATTTATATTAAATACATTTAACCTCACCTGCATCGGACATTTCGTTTTCCATTAAATCTAGAGATATGGTGCATTCTGCTGTGTTTGACATTTCAAGCGTTGTGTCACCATCAACTGTAAAACAAAGGTATTATTTAATGAGTTAATTGTTGTTCATGATTGAAATGTATTGTTTTTATGTCATTTTAAAATAATCTGCTATATCCAAATCCACATTATTATCTAATAAACTATCAAAACTGAAAAGCCAGGACTGAAAATTGGTATGATGTTGAGTCTATATTTTTCCAGGAGCTTATGTCGTAGTATAGTTGCATCAATGCAATAGACAAACACTCAAAACAATTATAATGTTATTATCATAATATAATCTCAAAAACAATAAGAGAAGTAGGTACATCATACCTAAAGCATCACTGTCATATATAGCGGGTAAGCCAGAAATTGACTCGCCCATAATGGTGTTTAACCATTCTGTTGTCTCTGATGGTTTAGGGGGTGGTGGTCCACCTCCAGTTTGTTTCCTACCATTTTTCTCTGCACTCATTTCCTGTAAATAAAGCATAATAATTATAGTACCTAAGCATAATTAAATTCCACCTTTTAGCTTATTTTGAAGATAAAGGCAACTTACTTTTCTGGCTATTTTTTTCATATTGTTAAATTTTTGTTGTAGTTGCTTAACATTTCTGTAAACAACAGCGTCCGAATTAAACTTTTCTGTTAGAGATCGCCACGCTGCATCTTTTTGCTGGTTACTCGCGTGATCAGTTCTTTTGCTTGTAATTATCGAATAATCCTTGAGGAGGCATGTCAGTTTTACAGTCTCTTCTTTACTAAAATTGGTTGTACGATCTCTGAAACATAGGGTTAAAGAAAATTACTTAATACTTTTTGTTTACTACTCTCCTGATTATAGCATTACAATAAAACAAATGTTAAGACTTACTTGATAGTTCCTGTTTTTTGCGATGCCATCATATTCGAATTTGCTATATATTCTGTACTTTTTCGTCACGATGTTAAAAATACCACGAGGCACAAATCACGATTTAATTAAGTACCGTTTTTTTGTGATAAAGAATCTTTATTACAAAATAATGACATTGACAACTTTGACACTAATAACAAGTACGATAAACGTCAAATGCGTCAGGCGTAGACAGTCTTGCCATGCAAAAATAATTACTCCCTACTGAAATTGGGGTCATTTAACACTCATTACAATGGCAACATATTTAACCAATGGTTAACATTACCAATAGTCAAAAAGAGATCAAAAAACAAACTCTTGCTTTAACTAGTGGTTAGCTTCTAACCTTTGGTCAGTTTAACAAATAGTCAACGTAACTTTGACTACGGATCAAAAAACCGGCCCTTAGTCGAGTTACAACTACGTTTGTGACTGGAGGTTATTTCCTTAAAGTAAAGTAAAGTTACAGCCTATATACGTCCCACTGCTGGGCACAGGCGTCCCCTCATTTCTGAGAGGGTTTTAGGGCAAGGAAGTGTCCGCCGCGCTGCCCCAATGCGTGTTGGCGAACTTCACATGTCTTCAAAATATTTTTCTCTTATTCCTCACACATGCAGGTTTCCTCACGATGTTTTCCTTTACCGCCGAGCACGTGGTAAATCAGCACTTGAAATTGCAATTAACAATTTCATTGGTGCCGGCGGGGATCATCATCATCATCATCATTACAGCCCTTCACAAGTCCACTGCTGAACATAGGCCTCCCCCAAGTAATGCCACAAAGCACGGTCCTGAGCCACCTGCATCCATCGACTTCCTGCATGTGTTACCAGGTCGTCACTCCATCTAGTGGGGGGTCGCCCTACACTACGCCTACCGGTACGAGGCTGCCACTCGAGAACCTTTCTTCTCCATCGGTTATCGGTTCTTCGAGCTATATGGCCGGCCCATTGCCACTTCAGCTTACTAATCCGTTGGGCTATGTCGGTCACTCTGGTTTTACTGCGGATATCCTCATTTTTGAGTCTGTCACGCAGTGAAACTCCGAGCATAGCCCTCTCCATAGCTCGCTGAGCGACCTTGAGCGTCCTCATACGGCCAGCGGTGAAGGACCACGTCTCAGATCCGTAAGTCATCACTGGCAACACGCACTGGTTATACACTTTAGTTTTCAGAGATTGAGGTATACCTGACGAGAAGATGTGTCGTAATTTCCCGAACGCTGCCCAGCCGAGTTGAATCCGTCGATTGACCTCTCGGTCGAAGTTGGACTACCTAGTCGGACTATTTGTCCCAGGTAAACGTACTCGTCAACAACTTCGAGCATAGTGCTCCCAACAACTACCGGCATAGGTGTGACATGGACATTAAACATGATCTTTGTTTTGTCCACGTTCATCTTAAGACCTATCCGTTGGGAGGTGTCTCCATTGAGGTCATTGAGCATAGTGCTAAGGTCCTCCAGCGATTCTGCCATAAGGACTATATCGTCGGCAAATCGAAGATGAGTGATGTACTCGCCATTGATGTTAATACCGTATCCTTTCCAGTCCAGTAGCTTGAAAACGTCTTCCAACGCAGCGGTGAAGAGTTTCGGGAATATAACGTCACCCTGTCTTACACCTCTCTGCAGTTGGATAGGTTTCGTACTCTGGTTCTGTACTCGGATAGCCATCGTAGCCCTACTGTACAAACACTTCAGCACTTCAATATACCGATAGTCAACTAGGCACCGCTGAAGAGACTGTAGCACCGCCCAAATTTCGACGGAATCAAAGGCTTTCTCATAGTCCACATACGCCAGGCAAAGTGGCAGATTGTACTCTTCGGTCTTCTGTACAATCTGCCGCAGGGTATGTATGTGGTCTATAGTACTGAAGCCTTTTCGGAAACCGGCTTGTTCGGGAGGCTGGAAGTCGTCGAGTCTGCGTGCGAGACGATTCGTAATGACTCTCTAAAACAGCACGTAGACGCGGCTCAGAAGGGAAATCGGTCTGTAGTTCTTCAAGAGAGCGTTGTCGCCTTTCTTAAAGAACAAGACCACAGCGCTTCTGCTCCACGCCTCCGGAGTAGTGCCACCATGGAGGACGGAATTGAAGAGCTTCTGAAGGACTTCAAGTACCGGTGTTCCACCCGCTTTCAGAAGCTCCGCTGTAATTCCATCCTCGCCCGGGGCTCTTGCCGTTTTTAAGGTGGTGGAGAGCCATTCTAATCTCGCTCAGACTGACGTCCGGGATATCATCGGAATAGTGTCGGATAAGACTTGCTCTTGGATCGTTACTCACACTTGCGTGTGGCTCCAACGATGATGTGTACAGCTGCCCATAGAACCTCTCAATCTCACTCAGAATCTCAGGTGTCCCGAAAACGATGTTGCCACACTCAGTCTTCAGCCTTGACAGTTGGCTCTTTCTGGCAGACAGATCTCTGGCAAAGACTTTGGAGCCCTGGTTCCGCTCGATCGCTTCTTTAGTACGAGCAGTATTAAAGTTGCGTAAGTCTCGCCGCATGCATTTGGAGATCTGTCTGTTCAGTTGCCTGTATGCTGTCAAATCTGTTGACGATTGCAGCCTCATCTCCCGTCTAACAGCCATGAGATTAAGAGTGTGATCGGAGAGTTTTTGTGTTCTTCTGCGGCGGGTCTTGCAGAACTTAGCTCCGACCGCATGGACAGTTTCCACGAGCTTGTCATTCATATCGTCCACTGCATTGCAATCCTCTAGGCACTGAAAGCGGTTTTGTAACTCGAGCTGAAAGGTTTCGGGATTCTGGATTAGAGCACGAGGGGGGACGGAGCGTTGACTTCATTAGACGAGACCTCTCCAACTTAACATTTAGGTTCAGTGTGCCTCTAACCATTCGGTGATCGCTGCCAGTTTTCACCCTTGCGATCACTGAGACATCACTGAACAGTTGGCGTCTGGTAGTCATAATGAAGTCAATCTCATTTTTTGTCGAACCGTCGGGGCTCGACCAGGTCCACTTCCTGTGGGACCGCTTCTGGAAGAAAGAGTTCATCATAAGGAGTCCCTCTTTTTCCATAAAGTCGGCCATCTGCTGGCCCCTTCGGTTCCGTTGCCCTACTCCAAATTTCCCCACCTTCAGCTCACCGCTTTCTCTTGTGCCTAGTTTTGCGTCTGAAGTCTCCCATCAACACCGTGTAGTGGGTTTTGGAGGAATGCATGACTCTGGAAATATCCTCATACATTTCCTCCACCTCCTCATCGGGATGTGCCGAGGTTGGTGCGTAAACCTGAATGACCTTCAGCGAATACCGTTTGGTGATTCTGAGTATCAGGTACGCGACCCTCGTCGATACAGTCTCAATCTTTACAACGTTGTTGACGAGAGACTTTTGGACGATAAATCCGACACCTCCTTGGGACTGATGGTCGCCCTCCCGGTGGTAGAACAAGTTGCCGGACTCGAGGATTGCCGTATCCTCCCCCTCTCTTCGGACCTCGGATAATCCAATAATATGCCAGCGCAACTTGTCTACCTCTTCTTCCAGCTCCAGTATCTTCTCAAGATAATTGTTGCAAATACAATTTATTAAACCACAGTTCTAATGTTCTAAATCCAATTACGATAACAGATATTGATTTGGAATCGTTAGAATTTAGCGTCATATAAATTAGATAGTTTAAAGAATCAAATTCTTCAAGCAGAGAATCAGCCTCATATTGTTAAATACGGGCATTATTATACAACGCTTACTTATATTGTAATTGCCAGTATTTTTAGTTATATACTGTATAAGATATATAAATGTTTTCCAAATTGTTGTAAAAGTACATTTTTACAACAATTTTGCATCCAAATTTACAGGGTGTTTGGAAGGTCGATGTAAAGCCGTAAAGCGCAGCTAGTATAAACTATTTAAAATTATTTGAACCCAACTGGTCTTAGACGAAGTGCGACTATTATTTTTTTATCAAGCGTAATGGTTTTTGATAACAAAACCCAACATTTTGGAGTTAGTTGTAAATTGTGGCCAGTTTGAAAGACAAATCACTTACTTTTTATTTTATTTTATTGAAGTAATGTGTAAACAGTATAATGTAACATTATTCAGGCATCTGTGTCATGAAATAAGTTTTTTACGGATATTTGAAGTCAATGATTTATTTAAAGATTGAGGAAAGCTCTTATTTGACGGCATTAAAAAAATACTGATGGTGTTGTTTTCGTTCAAACGTTTTTAAAAAGATGCCTGGTTATTGTTCTTTCTTTTGAGGCATTAACTACGCGGATAGCTCACAAATTATGAAATTAGGGCCTACAAACCAAATAGAGGGTAAAAATTATAATTTATTGAGGTAATAATTAAAACAAAATTTTGTTTAAAATCATTTATTATTCGTGTTCATAATTTTCACCGCGGTTCCTAACACAAGCATTGGCCCGTCTTCTCACTTCTGTTGTTGTTATTTTTAACTTCATCTCCAGTTTCATCGTTTCAAACGGTGAATTAATTCTCTCAATCAATTCTTCTTTTGTGTTTATTTCCACATTTGTATAGACTAGTTCTTTGGCACGACCCCACACAAAAAGTCCAGTGGAGTCAGTTCGGGTGACCGGGCGGGCCAAGGGATAGGCCCATCTCTGCCTATCCAGCTGTTAGGGAAGCAATTATTTAAATTCTCTCGTAAATTTAATGTCCAATGCGCTGGACAAACATCTTGTTGAAAGATGATTTCTCGGTCTGTAGCGAATATCGGGCCCGCGGAGTCTTCTACAAGCTCTGGAAGATCATTTTGTAGGAATTCCAAATAATTGTTGCCATCCAAATTATCCGGTAAGATATGGGGCCCAAACAGTGTTCTACCAATTACTCCAGCCCACACGTTGACCGAGAATTTCCTTTGAAAAGACTTCCGCTTTTTCCAATGTGGATTATTAGATTTCTCAGCCCATTGATGAAGGTTATGGAAGTTATGGAAGGTGGGGATCGAAACCGGGTTACTCGCGTTCTGTTATATTTACAGCTAGCGTTAACCATCTGAGC